GCCGGGACACACATGCACACACGTTTGTACTGTCAAGTCAACACGCACACACATTGAAAGTGGAACAGTTCAAGCGTCCACAACCATCCGAATGCCAGCCTATGAAACACACGTCTGCAGGTGGCCGCCTAACACTCCTCACAAAGGGCCTGATGTATAGGATGCAGTGCGATGCCGCACAAGTCAACACACAGGCTAGAATAAGAATGTAATCGGGGGTGAGTGTGAGAGAGAGAGAGACAGAACGCGTTGCACATTTTCGTATATTTAGTATTTGACAGACGTGCAATACAAGTACAAAGAATCAGCTTCAACTTACGCAGCCTCATAAGCTTGACAATGAGGGATCCTCTCTGTTCCCTGTAGGTGGGACTGCCAGCGGAGTAATGGAGATCGTTGGCAAGGCTATACGGAAGCACGACAAGGAACGCAAGGTACCATGCCTGGGCATCACCCCCTACGGCGCTCTGACACGAGGTTGGCGTGACCTGATTTGCTCAGAGGCTGCTTTTGAGGAAAGCTGCCCGGCAAACCCAAACCCGAAGAAGCTCGGAATGGTTACGTTTGCAAGTTGGGCCTTTGCAGTTCTATTTGGGTGTTCCGGTTGTGTAGAAAGCAGGCAGTCGCCCTGCAAATCCGAGGAAGATGGATGCTGCAGAGGCGAAGCCAGAAGGGACAGCAGTCGACGATAGGCCGCTGGCAGCCCTTCAAGAAAACCATTCGCACTTCATCATCTGCGACAATGGTCAGGTTGGCAGCCAGACGTTTGGGACGGAGATTTCTTTCCGGACGCGCTTCGAGGATCATGTTGCAAAGGGCGACTTCAATGACGTCGAGGGGAGCTTGCAGGTTCGCGTGCCGCGTGTGATGATCCTTCTGAATGGTGGCAAGATCTCGCTGGAGTCGCTGGTCCAGGCTGCCTTAGCGATTTCCACCGCATTGCTGCTGTTGAGCTCGTGTTCGTTTGTCGTGTCTGATGTGCAGATCGGTTTGGGCTGTTGTCCCTCTGCGATCAAGCATCGGCTGTTATGGTTCAGCAACAGGGTTCCATGTAGAATGACCAGATCACGGTCAGGCTATTCAAACTGGCTGTCCGTTGGTGGTGTGCCGTGGAACTGGACGCCTCGCCGACGTCATTTGCCGTGTCTTGGAAGAGCCCTGCAGCCTCTTGGCTTTCTTCTGCTTGGCCTTCCTTGTGCGCGGTTCCTATTGTAGTGTGAAAGCAAGGAGCCTAGCCGCTTGCAGAGTTCAGGGCTTTGTCTGCCTGGGTCGGCATTAACCAGGTGTGGACGACGAAGACGAGAACTCCTTCCGAAGTCACTTCCAAGAAACCTTGAAACTCGGCTCTGCTTGACGGATCCAGATAAAGCTGAGCTCAGCTTACGACTATGACTATGACTTGTGCGCAGGAACGACAAACAGAAGTAGCAGTGGGGTATGGTACCGTAAGCTGATCGCCACGAAACTCGCCGGTTAGCCAACAGCAGTTCCAATGACCCTGCCGGCCCCAGCATTCTTTTTTGGTCTGCGTTTCATTTAATTGGTATTCGGCTCAGGAGACCGTGCTTCAGGTGTGGATGTTCGAGGTTCCGCCAACAAGCACACTGAGGCATGAGGCCGTCAAGGAGTTCATGCCGCAGGACACCTTGACGACACAAGACATCGAGCATTTCGCCACTTGGGTCAATCTTGTTTGCAGTGCTTGGGGTAAGTAGGGCGGTCATATATGATGTCCCAGCCTAGACACGTTCTTGTTTACACCCCCATTGGCCAATGCAGCTTCTTGCCGCATGCCCCTTGGACATACACACACAGAGATGTAATATATATATATATAGAACATATATATATATATATATAATATACGTAAATATAATATATATATATATGTATGTATATGTATGTATATATAAATATATATACTTGTATATGTATTACTATTTATTACACATATGTTGGCCCCCGTTTTGGGTCTCGAAAGTGCAGCGTCTTTAGGGTAGGCATTTGCATCCTGAAATTTACAGCTCAGGGTGACGAGCTTGAACAGACTGCTTTCATTATTTCCCCTTTCGTTGAAGGTTGAATTTGTTTCTGGGCGTGCAGCTTGGCTGGTCACTTCACAAGCATAGTACACGAGACTGAGCTCTCGGAACCGTCATCCTTTCTGACCATCGAGTCCACGGCCTCAATCTTCTACTTTGTGGGACCCCTACAATTTCGCCTTGGATTGCAGCGGATGTAGTCCTTCAGGAAGCCATCGTGCAGAGTGACATGGTGGTGATCTACTCTATCAACGACCGCTTCGAAGAAGCCGTTTGTCCTCACAAAGCAAGCTCACGCTTCATTGATGGCCTTACGCCCTTTAAATCCCTGAGCGCCTGAAGAGCCTTGTGGTCGGCTCGCGTTTCATCCCATCATGAAATCCTAACCAGACCTCCGAAGTACCGGCTGACGCGTGCGATGTCTCGACATCCCTCAAGTTTAAAAAAAACGCAGGTTTGAAGGCGGCCAGCTCCGCCTCACCCACACATGCATGAGACGGTATTGAAAAGGTTCAGCTACTCAAGGCTGTGAATTCTGCTAGCCCCAAAAATGCGAGGACACGAGGGCGCGATTCCCCACTCCTTCGCCCGCAGATCCTAAAGCCCACCTATGGACCTTCGAAGTGGTTCACGCAACTTCGAGACTCAAGCTTGAACTTAAGTTTACATTATAGTTTACATGGACGTAGATACTGAAAGAAATCTTGGGTTTCACGATGTGCGGTTCTGGGTTGAAAGCATTTTAGGCTTCAGTTTCCTGAGAGATTTGTCCCCCTTCCGGAGTGCTTCAGATGTACTTGCCGGTGCGGCTAGGTTACTTTAGGTTAGAAATTTACTGTATGATTGAGAGTTTTGGGACAGGTTCATTCCGCCATCTAGCCTTCAACAGTCCACACCCGAAGCCTTCAACCATAAAGCATTGAAAGCCTAAGCATGCCCAATCCTGATTCCTCCTGCCCCTTATGCCCTACACCCCAGAGAATCCCCGCGAAGGCCCTGTGAAGCAAAACACCAGGTGGTTCTGCAGGCGGTCTTGGGCCACGCCGGCTCTGCTCCAACAACCTCTTCCAGAGATCTCGAGGTGTGGATGACGTTACATATGGTTTCTTATGGTTTCGACATTCGAGTTGTATGGAGAGTGTTACGTTCAAAGCTTTGTTTCGGAATTCGAGCAGAGGGGGCTGGCTGGAAGTTAAGACTCCACTAAGACACGGGATGTTGTGGTTGAAAGGGCTTGGTTTAGCTTATGAATCGTGTTCCAATGTCCCTGCATGGAATGTATGCATGATGTGTGAGCTGTTCGGTTTGCCTTGATTCAGTGCTTCTCACAGGTTTGCAAGCCACTCAGGTTTCTGAGGTCGGGCAGCCTTTGTTGAAAACGTTCTGGCTTGTGGCTTTGGGCCTTACAGCTCACAGAGTTGCTTGCAGCTGCTGGGCTCTAAATGGCAACGCACAGGAGAAGGCTGTTAACGAAGCATGGCCAAAACGAGAACAGCCTATACTACTGGCAGGACATGGCAGGACCTTGGGCTTGAAGGCGAGCTCATTTGATGGGTCCGATAGCTGTTCTTACGGCGGGTTTGGGGTTCTAGTCTAGAGCTGAAAGGTAAACCTTGGCCACTGCCAAAAGCTAATCCGGAATCCAAAGCTCCGCTCTCAGAGCTTCACGCGAGTAGTACGATTCCGAACCTGCGTGACGCCTCAGACTTGTTTCCAGGCCCCAAGCGCGGTCGCTGTGGGGCAACAGCTGGCCTTGGCTGTGCAGTACCGTGGTTGTCATTTAGACACGTGAAGAAAATCAGGGTCTGGCAATTGAAGGCGCAGGGTGACAAGCGTCATGCTCGTATGGGTCCTCACAGGCTAGTCAGTACGTCAGCGAAAGGTGCAGGAGAAGATTCAATCATGATCTTCAACTCAAACAGGAAAGAAAAAGTTTCGTTTCTGAATCCAGCTCTCTTCCGCCTGCCGCTCTGACAGGTGGGGCTGTTCCAACTACTATGGCCACCTGGGGCAAAGGCTTATGGAAAGCGGCGATCCGAATGGGGCCATCAAGCTGATCTTCAAGGAGTCAATACTCTAATATAGGAGCCTGAACCTGTGGGTCGTATTGTATTATATACATATATATATATATATATTATTATTATTATATATATATATACAATCTGTCGTTGTATGTTACCGAAGTATGGTATATAACTCTTTAGAAGTGCACACGCAAGAACCTCGTCAAGCCGAGTAACCCTGATGGTTGTAGCTGAACGTCATGCCCATTGCATGAGCCCTCACCCCTGCAGTAGCTTGATCAGTTTATTTGTCTCTCTGCACGGCCGAAGACGGTCACACCACAAGCCCTGGTCAAACCCTAAGCGGCATTGCCTCACCTAAAGAGCCTTCTCTTCTTCTCTTGCAGGAGCTGGTGGCTTTTAACTCTGGTATGACGCCCGTGACGGTGGTGCTCCCCGGGCAGAGCAGGGTGTCAAGAGGAAGGCTCAAGGCTGAAATTTAAGGGTTTCGGTTCCTGGCAAGCCTGAGTGTAAGCCGATGGAATTAACTTCGGATTTGTGGAGATCGGGAATTGCAGGTCTGCCCTGGCATGCAGGTGCGCAGCGTGCGCGAGAATGCCGGCATGCTGGTGGCGTGGCTTCTTCAGAACTATCTGAAGCAGATGGATCAGCCACCTGGTCATGCGCCAGTACGGAGTTGTGTTTTCAGTTCGATATGTTCACAATGCATTTGTACCCATTGCTTCGGACATTGCCATCATGATGCACGCGCACAGAGACACACCAAACTCCAACTCTAGTATGCTTGGATTCATAAAACTTGTCGGACAAGTGGGGACCCAGTTGTCCTGCTTGAAGAACAAGACGTCGTGCCGGGGTTATCCGGGACTAGTTTTTTTCAGAGTCGTGTGTCGTTTCACCGTCTAGACTTGCAACTTAGCGCGGAGGGAAAAACGAGTTTACAGGGAAACTACGGTTGAGGGCTGCTTCAAGGCTAATCAGGGCGATAGCAAGCGGCAGATGGTTCCGCTTGCCATTTCAAAGGACCTCAAGGAATGCAGAGGGCCGACTGACAGTATCGCTGCGCCAATACAACTGCTGCCGACGAACAAACTCGCCTCCGCTTCAGGTGTCTTGCTTTATATTTTCACTTTCCGGGAATAGCTGTGAGATCTTCAGCTCGCGCAGTACTTCGTTCCGGGTGGTCCCGATCTTCCCGATGAAGCTGGTTACTATTGGAACGAAAGGCAAAAACTTCACCTCTTCTTCCGTCTGTGACATCTGCCAAGCTGTAGGATGAAGAACAGAGCCACCTATCTGCCATGGCGAACGTTCTCAGGACGACCTTCGAAGATCGTCCTGGGTTCCAGGAGCCGGTTACTATTGGAACGAACCGCAGAAACTTCATTCCGTGCACAAGAGAACACGTGGGTCATCAGCCACCCCAAGCAGCGGTTGGTTCCGGTTGTAGCCTCGCAGCTGCCGATGAGGCTTCAGGAGATAAGACAAAGTTGCCTCTGCTAAAGGCGTCGCTCTGTATATCTTCACCTTCCAGCGACAGCTGAAAGACCTTGCTGGATGCTACGTACACTTCGGCGAGTACAACAAGAGCCCTTGCTGCAAGTGCTGGCAGGCGCCTCGGCGCTTCCTAACGAAGTCCGACACAGGACTCTGCATCGTCCGAGACAAAGACTGCAAGGGCGTGGCGTGGGCACAAGCAACAATCTGATGCATTTTGCAGGGCCAGACAAAAGCATGGAGAATGGAGAAGGCCCGTTGCGAGGTGGTGGACAAGTGGCGTGAGCCCCGCGTTCGCAGGAGTTCGGGATGCTCTGCGATCTGGCGTGTTCACACACCTCCACCTGGAAGCAGCAGGCGTGAGTCCAAAGTTCTGGAACTTGGCGGCGAACTTGGACTTCATGGTGTGGGCATACCGACGCATTCCCGATGTCGATCACGACCTCGTGGATTTTTGCGCTTCGCCTGCACCTGCATCCTCTTCCTCTTCCTCGCCGAGTGCGCCTGCTTCATCTTCCACGTCGCCCGCCAACCTCCCGCCATTCCAAGGCAGGGCGAACATACTTCACCGAGGTGCAGTCGCATCCGTGTGTTTATGGACAAGACACAGCGAGGACTGCGTCGTCAAAGTGATCTACGAGGTCTTCAAGAGACACGTCTACAGGCCGTCTGGTGGCGCTGGGCTCTTCATGCCGCGAAGGGGGGACCATTTGCTGACCTGAAAGGGTCGGCCATGGCTTGGTATCCCGAAAATGGCACAGCCAGCAGCCATGCTTACGAGCCGACGCGCGCTGTTGAGATGCTGCAGGGGAACCTTGGAGAGGAACCACGAGTACAGCTGCACAAAAAAGCGGTGGTCCACGAGACATGCTCTTCGGAGACGGGCGGCCGCAAGATCGGAGCACATGGCCAGTGCTACAACAGCCTTTGTTTCGGGGCGGATTTTTTTGCAACTCTTCTTGTGAGGTCCGGTGCTAGACTACAAGGCAAAACCTCAAGGACCTGTGCCAAGCACAGTCTTGTCCTGTTGAATACCCGACAGAGCTTGGAGAAGGCATCTGCACAGTGTATCAGAGGGCGAAGGTGTGGCACCAAGAAGGTGACTGCATCAGGATGTCGGAAAGACGCATCTTCACCGTCTTGTGCACGGACATCGGAGAAGGGAGGCAGTACTGGTTTGGTGGCTGCTTCAGCGCTTCTGCCCATATTGCATGCCAAGGCCAGGGGTCTAAGCTGCTTCATGCCGGTTCGGAAACAGGCCGCGAGATTTCACCACGGAAGATGCGGAGACATATCCGGACCAGCATGCGCCCGTGCTCCACCGACACCCCTGACAGGTCAGACTCGAAGTTGTCAGTCTTCGAGGATCAGTAGCGTCAGCTAGACGTGGAGACATTCCAGTCGCTGTGCAAAAAAATCCTATCTCGCAATTTGGGACAAGTTGCATGCCCTTCCTGCAGCCACGCCCTTGTCGACAACGGATTGCCTGGCTTGTAAGCAGGGCGCTCTGACCCTCATCAAGACCAGGTCGATACAATGTCCTTGGTATTGGCTTCCGTGTCAACGGCCCGCTCACAGCCCCACTAACGTCCCATCAAAGCCGACAAACCAAATGTGTTTTCTGCAGTCCTAGAGCTCAGGTTCGTTGTGAACAAGGAGACTTTAGGCATCGATATCCACTGGAGCCACGTGGCGCAGGAATCCTGGAGGTCTCTCGAAGGACGTAATCTGCTTGTGTGCAGGGTTTCAGGGTAGTAGGGTTTTTCCAGTTGGGGCTGTGGGTCTAGGGCCCAAGGTGGACAAGCCAGTTAACCGGAACAACATGCATCTAAATCCAAGGTCTGAAAGCCTCCGTATACTACAATTCTGCGTCCTAATACAACCACTCTAAACTCTACATGTAACCAGCCTTTCAAGGCTATTTGTGTTGAAGGCAGTTGAAGGTAGAAGACTCCAGCGGCGAACATCACCACAGGTCAAGCCAGGGCGTTGATATTAAGTCATTAGGCTCTGTTGTTTACTCCAGATCTTGGGCAACAGGTAACAAAGCAGCATTACGCATACGAAAATGAGTCTCATTTGTTCGGCCTCTTCCGCACGTGATCGTTGCTCATCGTCGTAGTCGTCCACGATAACAACGTTGTTATTGTTGTTGTTATGTTTCTGTTTGTGATTCATGGCGATGTAGTTTATCAAGATTATCATGATTGTTGTCATGTTTACTGCACTTACTTTAGTTATGGCCAACATTCGGACGTTTCCTCTATAGAACTAGCAGGAGGAGAAGTAGCGGCATTCGCTGCATTGGAAGTACAAGCAGCAGCCGGCCAAAGAACGCCCTGTCAGGACTGCTCGTCTGGTCCATTGAGCAAGAGGCTCCATGCTCTGTGCTGGAGATCATCTGGTCCTACATGGAGGATGCTTAGAAGGATTCGTGTTCAGGTCTTTTAGGGCCCGCAGCAAGCGCTGGTTTTGTTGTTTTTGTTGATGGCAATTATTACTTGTGGTCGTTATTGTGTTGTGTTCCTGCTGACCGGTGCCCGGAAGCCCTAGGCTGATGGGTTACCAAGCATTGATACTAGTAGCTCGATCGTCAAGACTGCCTCGCTATCGCCGCCACGACGGTTGTCATGCCACCACCATTGCCATAGCAGTCAGACTCACCCGACTTTAAGTTCTTAAGAGCCGGCCCGGACAGATGAAGCGGACACACTCAAAGTCGGACCCCGAACAAGTTTTAGTAGGTTTATCGGACTTGAGCTGTAAGTAGCCTGCAGATCTCAGAGCCGCTAAAGCGACTTCTAAATTCAATTGGTTGCGTGGCGTCTTTGTTGTCATTGTTGTTGTTGGTGGTGGTGGTGGTGGTGGTGGTGGTGGTGGCGGTGGTGGTGGTTATGGTCTTGGTCATGATCGCCATCTTCGTCGTTGTCGTCGTTGCTGATGTTCTTTTGTTGGCATAAGACCCATCCATTGCTTTGCAGTGTTCCCCTCCCGAAACCCTAGGTCCTGCACTCATCAGCCCGAAGCCCTAACGAACAACCAAACCCCCAGACCGCAAATCGCAAATCCTTGGGCCCTGGCTCAGTTTCGAAAGTGCATCCTAAACCCTTCAGGACCCTGTCCATGCAGCTCTGATCGCTGCCTCCGCTTGCCGAGACACTGCAGAGAGGGAACACAGCTCGGCTTCCTACCAGGACCCATGCATCTTTCCAGGGGTGTCTTGAAATAAAGGGGTTCCTGTGCTATTTTTCGCGACTCCGCTTTCCCGGGCTGCTACCGAGGCCTGATGGCTGAATCAAGTTGCATCTCAAGGTGCTTTCGCAGGGTTGTTTGTTGAGGGCCTTCTTGTTGCTGTTGGAGGCTTGTGTAGGGATGGTGAAGTTTTTGTCTGGGTTTTATTTCTTTCACGTAGGGGTTCACGAGGTTTCCGCACACACGGACCACTCAATAGAGTGCTATCGGTGTGCAAAACTTTTGAGGTTTTCTACAAGAATATTTGCGGTTGTTCTGTTGGGTTCCACACCGTTGCATCGTTGGTGAAGACTTGATCTGCGACTGCAGGGCAAGGCGTGAGGACTCGGTTCACGGTTCAAGCACCAGGCTAAACTGGTTTAGGGTTTGGCTTCGAGATCTCCAAGACATCGAGTGCTTTGAGTTTCATTGTCGGTTCTAGGACGTTTTCGTGGCATGTGGATGTTGATGAGTTTCATGAAGCCTTCGGGCTGGTGAAGGTCGGCTGTTGTTGGTGCCATCTCCCGTCGACCAGGACGGCTTGGCCAAGAAGGAGTTGGAGGACTGAAGCTTCGAGGAAACCTGCAACCCACAACCTTGCTCTCCAGGCATCTTCAATCTGCACCGCAATGGATGTCGTGGCGTCGAATGGATCACAATGATCACAGACTCAGCTACGCAGCCACCAGACAGCATAAACAACCAGCAACAGCAGCACCTCCACCACCGCCGCCACCGCCGCCGCCACCACCACCACCGCCACCACCACCACCACCACCACCACAGCCGCATTGCCGCATAATTGTTCCCAACAGTGATTTCGATTGTATACAGAGGCAGTATGAGGACCGCCACCGTAGCAATCATCGTCAAGAAATAAGGCCACGACTTGCCGTTCATGCTGGTGACAGTGGGGATGGTCTCGGTTGTGTCGTGCGGTGGTTTGTCATGGCAGCTACTGAGGGCTGATGCCAGATTGCAGGACTCGGCGGACCGCTTTGAGAAACTTGCCATCCTTGTCTTGGAAGACCTTGCTCAGTCGGGGAAAGGGGTGGAGTACCTCTTCCAGGAGGGGCTTCTAGCGTCTGTGCGACGTGTTGGACCATTTTCCGCGGGCTTATTGGCTTGGGGTTCTAAGGGTTGGGCTCTGGGGCTAACAGAACAACGACGGGCGGTGATGACGTTCTTTGGGTTTCACGGTTCAATGGTGGCTACTAGACAGGAGTACCACATTTGATGCGGCTTTAAAAGCTGGAGTCGGACTGGCCCACGAGAACAAGCCGCTTCAGGAAATTTTATGGCTGCTTCCTCTGGTGTTAGGAGCCCAGAACCATATGAAACCCTCTACCCTGAGAGGAGCCGGTCCGCTGGCAAGGTAATCGCAACTGCTTTCGCCTCGCGCACGAGCTGGGTTGCAAGACCTTTGGCTGTCTTCTGCCGTCCCCTAGGGTTGCTGTACAAGTGTTCTGCATTGGTTGAAGATGTATTTCCCGATTTCCCATCGGTGAGTTCTAGTCATAGTTTATCGCCGTGTGTGACCATCACTTGCACGGCTAGGAGCTGCCGGTTCTTGTTTGGCTCGGCTCGTGCGGCTCTGGTGATCTGATTTCGGGGTAGCAGTTGCGTCTCCGGCCTTACGAGCCCGCCGAGGACCTTTGTGTCCAAGACGACCTACCGGCGTGCTGTCGACCAGTTCCCTGACGGAGGATCTCTTTTTCCCTGGCTGGGGCTTCAGGTCTCGAGGTCAACGGCTTTAGATCATGGGGTTATTGTTCCCCCAAAGCCCTAGCCTTGAAAGCCCTACTACGCCAGTGCCCAAAGCCATAAAGCTGACACTGAACCTTAACAAGGTATTGGATGACGCCAGTTCCTTTCAACCTCCACTTCCATCACGGCCAACTGGATCATTCCAAGCTCTTCAGCTGGCGGTCGTGGCTGAGCCTCCGTGCAGAGAAGGGGCAAGCCAAAGAGCTGAAGATCTGCGACTTCGGTCCCTGGCAGTTCTTTTCAATCCCGTATGTCCAGGCAAGGGCATGCTCCATCTATCCATCTACTACCTAGCTGCCTACTATCTATCTACTGGTATCTATAATACTCTATGCTCTGATTATCTTTCGATCTATCTCGTACTCTGTGTTATCTGTCGATCTGTCCACCTGCCTGTCTACCCACAGACCCCCCTCCCTACCGACCTGCTACTTACCTGCCTGCCTGCAGGCGACAAAGGGCTAGCAGTACCTAACGGTCATGTGGGTAGACATGAAGAAGCATGGGAAGCACTACTACCGAGACCTGGTATGGCGGTCGCATCCTAGCCATGCCGATGAAGCCCTGGATGTTGACTGGATGGGTTTACAAACATGTAAACCTGTTCCTGCAGAGTTGCACCAGGATCCCGTAGTGGATAGCTGGTGGACTCGACCGTCCGTGTGTTGACATGAGTTTTCATGACAGTCTTGTGTCGGCGAGCGTGCAATTGAAGCTCTTCTTCGGAGTTGTTCTCGTGTCAGTCTGCATGAGGTTGCAAATGAGCCTGCAGTCCCATAACGTGTTCCACGAAGCAGCAGCAGATCAGAACGTTATACAATCAAAAGAGCTACATCACCGACGACATTCCAGATTGAGATCTGATATAACAGTGTGTGTGTGTGTGTCTAAACGTGATTGTGTGTGTGTCTGCCAGCATGCATGGCTGGATGTATGTATGTATGTATGTATGTATGTATGTATGCATGTATGCTTATTGGATTGTTTGCTTTGTTGGTTTGTACTTGTGCTGTATGCATTTGTGCGTGTGTGTGTGTGTGTGCGTGTGTGCGTGCCGGTGTGTGTGTGTGTATAGCTGGGTATATTTATGTATTTGTGTGTGTGTGTGTGAATGAATGAATGAATGAATGAATGAATGAATGAATGAAGGAATAAAGGAACGAAAAGTGAAGGGAGTGAATGTGTGAATGAGTGATTGAATGGCATGAATGAAATGAATGGCATTCATGAATGAATGAATGAATGAATGAATGAATGAATTAATTAAGTTCAATTGAAATGTCATGAAATGAAGTCACATGAAATGAAATCACATGAAATGGAATGGAATGAATGAATGAATGAATGAATGAATGAGTTAATGAATGAATGAATTAATGAATGAGTGAATGAACGACGGAACGAATGAACGAATGAACGAATGCATGAATGAGTGCATGAATGAATGATTGATTACATGAATGCTTGATTGAATTATTGAATGATTGAATTACTGAATGAATGAGTGAATGAGTAAATGAATGAATGAATGAATGAATGAATGGATGAATGAATGAATTACTGAATGAATGAATGAATGCATGCCTGCATGAATGAAGGAACGCATGAATGTAAGAATGTATGTGTGTATGTATACGTGTGCATGTGTGAGTGTCTGTGTGTGTGTGGAGGCCCAGTGTAGACAGGCGGGCGCGCAGGCAGGCACACCGCGGCACGCAACAAACAGCAGGCACAGGCAAGCACAGAGGCTGGCAAAGGAAGGCGCACGCAGGCAGGCAGGCATGATCAGGCATGTACTTATGTATGTATGCATGCCTGTTCTCTGTTTGTAAGATACACACTGTATTACTTGTTTGTTCAGTCGCATTCTTGTTGCTATGATCAGGTTCAGTCTTGTTGTTTACATATAGTATATCTCCATTTCGGCGAATACTAGTCAGTAGCAGACAAATTGTTCATTGCAGCCCAGCCAACAGCCACCAAACTTGAGGGTTTGAGGTCACCTTACTCTATCATCATGGGAGAAGCCATGAACAACCGCAGAGTCAAATTTGGGGCGGGTTCGGCAAGTACAGAACTTCTGTCCCAAGAGCCTTCTCTGCAAGCTGAAGGCGTGGACCAATGGAATCGCCCGCTGCCTTTTCGTCGCTCTCTATTCTTATGCGGTGTTCTACAGATTGTTGGCGGTGGGCGGCATTTGCTTCATGGAGGCCTGGGGTGCTGCAATCATAGCAGTCTCGGCATTTGAATGTCAGGTGTTGGGCTCTAGAGTACAAGCGGCTTCATACTAGGGCCGGAATCGTTTTTGATGAGTTGACACTACCGATCGTGCTGTCGCAGTCGGGTGAGCTGCTCTGGATTTGGTCTGCCATGCTCCCCTGACACTTTTGATCGGAAAGCCCGCAGCTTCGGCCAAAATCCCCAAACCTTCAAGTCGTCAACCTAAGAGCTGAGAAGAGCAAAGCCGAAGCCCTGTTTCAGAATGCCGACATGTACATTTATTAATCCTGAACCGTACTCTGCGACACCTCTTCCAAGCCCAGAGCCTCGAATCCCTGCAGCCTTAGCCGAAATCCAGGTGCTGCTCTTCCTATGGGGTCTGGGCCTTGCCCTGGTTGAGCTTCGGCAACTGGAGAACAACGGGTTTCTTGGCCTTTGGGCGTTGGATGGAGCCTTTTCAGTTCAGCTTAGTACTTCCGAAGCGCCACGCACTGAGGTTGTCGAGTCTATGTCTTGATGTTCAAAGCGTGAAGCCTATTAGGCTTGAGAGTCAGGTCGTGGGTTTCAGGTTTGACGCTGGAGCTTAAGGTCTTCGGCTCGTCGCTGCAGCTGCTGCCCATGAGCAACAATCGAGTTGGCGTAATATTATCAGTTTTGACTCGTATATTGTTGGCGTTAGTATTACTACTTATTTGCCTCAACATCTGCATCGGGGCCCTTTGTCCTCATCTGTGCCGTGAGCGACTGACCTAGGCGTCCGTCCTGCGGAAGTCAGGTTGTGTTGGATTTCAGACTGCTCCTCGAGCCAGGTTTCCTTCCTACATCCACGACTTTTGGAACATCTTGGACGCCGTGCACATCACGGTGCCCCTGCCCTCATTCCCTTTGCTTTACCCTTCTTGCCATCTGGTACTTTGTTTAGCGAAGGCTTCACATCTGGGACCCTGAAGACTTGAAGTCTGCAAAAAGCCAACACCAAACCTGAACTCCTGAGGACAGACGCCCATGAAGCGCCCGTGCACGAGCTTGCACGAGCATTGAACGCCAGAGCCAGAGATGAAGGTCCTAAAATCCCAAACCTGAGGCCCATTCTTCAGCCGCAATACTGTATGGAAGCATGAATAATTACAAAGATTTTCGTCTCAAGCTTGTTCTTTGGGGTCCGAGCCCTTTCCATTTGGGGCTCGACAATTTCGGGTCGACCACTCGATTGTCCGGACTTGGCCAGCTTTCACCCGACGCTTCCGGCAGGGATGTCTGCAGTTCGGGCACTGAAGCAGCGCTTGCACATAGTTTGGCTGCCAAGGTTCAGGCACAGTCTCTTCTATCTGGATTCTGATGATGATCAGGAGGATGAGGAGGAGGCGGATGAGGAGGATTACGATGTCCTACGTGAGGCAAACACGTTGAGACTCGGGCAAATTCAGGCCGTACTTGACAGCTTCTGCCAAACATCTGAAGCTCAAGTGGAAGGGCTTCTGCATGCTGCAGGAAGCGGCCGAGCAGCAGAAGCGGAGAGTATTCTACAAAGGCCACAGAATCCAGATTTGGATTGTGTTGCTATCCAACGTTGACCGCACTATCTGTAGCATCCGAGAACGACCACCTCGAGGTGACACGCCTTTTGCTGGAGGTGTGGGCAAGGACAAAGCCACGCATGATGCCGCCAACTCGTTGTACATCGCAGCTAAAAGGCATTTGCAGGTTGCCGGCCTATTGCTGGAGGCCATGCGGAGAAGGAAAGGCCCATCGGAGTGGCGCCACGTCTATGTTTGTTGCAGCTCAGAAGGGACAGTTGGAGGCGGTGCGGCTGTTGCTGGAAGCGAACGCGGCCATGCGTGATGGCGCCACCCCTTTCATGCTCGCAACTGCGAAAGGGCATTTGGAGGTAGTATGCTTTTTGCTGGAGGCCAATGCCGACAAGGACAAGGCACATCGGAGTGGCTTCAGCGCTTTGTATACGTCGCGGCTCACGGTGGACAGTTGGAGGTTGTGCGGTTTTTGCTGAAAGCCAACGTGGACAAGGGCCACTTCAGAGTGGCGCATCCCCTTTGTGTGTCGCAGCTGCGAATGGACAGTTGGAGATTGTTCGGCTTTTGCTGCAGGCCATGCGGTGAAGGACAAGGCCCGTCAGAGTGGCGCCACGTCTTTGTTTGTTGCAGCTCAGAAGGGACAGTTGAAGTTGTGTGGCTTTTGCTGGCCGCCAATGCGGACGAGGACAAGGCCCACCGGAGTGGCACCACCCCGTCGTACATCGCAGCTGCGAATGGTCATTTGGAGGTTACCTGCCTTTTGCAGGAGCCCAACGTGGACAAGATCAAAGCTATCAATGACGTCGCAGATTAACCCATTCATTTAAATCCCATGTCGAACGCTCATATGGGGGCCTGAGTAATCCCTTACTGTTCGTTGCCTGAGGGAGCACCTATGCTAATGTGTAGTGGGCACAGTGCTATTACTCTGGGCTCTGTGGGACCAACTCTGCAGTTTGCCTCTCCCATTGAGGAACAGGCTGAGGGTAGTGCGCCACTGCGCAGTGACGTTTGAATCTCTGCGCGGAGTCTTGCTCGTAGTTCGCAGAATATGCTTGCTTCGACACTTTGGGACTACGCAGTCCTTTGCCCTACTTTATCTTCCCTGCCTGCCATCAGGTTTCTACCCCTCTTGAGCGTTTGGTCCAACATAATGCTTCTGTGAGGGTCCTTCAGCCCGGGTGAGCGCACACATGTGCACGACAAGACTTAATTTCGTGACAAGGACGCGCAACTTTGTGGAGGGTTTATTCGGCTGCCATTGCTTGCTTGTTACACCGCATGTGTGGCTTCCCTGCTGTATCTTAGGGTTTCGCTGACTGTTGTTCAGCGGGTGTTATGCAGTAGCTTCCTGTGATCTTGATTGAAGCTTTGCTATATTTTGATTGTGCATTTTTTGGGCTTGTGGGCCTTGTGCTGCAATAGAGCGTTTTTAGCCTGTCATCGGAGTGCTGAGCGGTGGACCAGATATCCTCCCTAATGCATGCACGCTGTGTGCTGCTCGAGACTTTCCGGCTGTTTGCTAGACTTTATTGCTGATTCTTGGACGTGTCGGTTGACACTGGGGGCCACTGCAAGCAACATCATGCCTTAGAGCCTGCCGTATTAATTGTACAAATACTTTTCGCCTACTTTGCTTCGAGGTGCTCCTTTCAGCATTGGTGCTTGGACTCCTTCTGGCCGACCAAAGCCGGGACATGAACAAGCCGGAGACTTCGATGGTTTGTAACATCTCGGGAATTAGATGCAGCTGAGGTGACATGCAGACAAATATTTTAGTGATCGTACCGCGTAGGATTGAGAGCTGAGTCCTCACAAAGCTTGTTTCTGCCAACAGGCTCCATGGTGCCGTATAGGGACCGTTCCTGATCTGACACAGCCGCGGTGAGTTTCAGTGACCCGCACGCGACCCAGCGACGGGCAGGGCAGATCTGCTTCTGCCATGCGAACCGTTGCCCGTAGCTTCTTCAGGGCTTGAGGGACGCTAGCTTATGACATTATGAGGGATACGCCTGTCTCGCCACAGGGCACCTCTCAAGGCGAATCTGCGAGCAACAAGAAAACTCTTGCTTGAGAAGAACATGAAAGAATTGAGTTTTGCTCCTGTGTCCCATGCCACCTATAGCATTGTCAGTACTGCCGAGAGTTCGAGACAGCTCAGGAGCAAGTGCTGGAAGTGATGCATGCGATGAATCTGCTGCCCTGCTGCTTGGGTTGCACTGAGCTTGGTGTCCCAGGCCGTTTAATGCCCACGAGAGCTAAGCCGATGCCCCATTATTGGGTATAAGATAGCAGCAGATGATCATTGCATACATATATTAGGCTTCTTAGTCGCGGTTCGCGCGGCCCAGAACCCCAGCAGCCCATGAACAAAGCTCTTCAGCTCAGGTTGGCTCCGGGTGTTGCAAGTGCTTCAGAACTCGGAGCACTTCGGAACTCTTCTCATCACCATCTTCGGGATGGCCAAGGAGAAATCTCAGCCGTTGCCTTCGGTGTGTGAGCGAATTTCTAGGAGCAGCAGCCCGCTTCTTCAAGCCATCTTGAGATTTAGTGATCGCTTTGTCATGAATAAGGACAGTCGGCCTTGGTTGAGAACCGTGTCGTATTTCTGCTGTGCGACGACCTGCTTTCGTTTGCCGTTGTTGCCATCATCAGGATGCGCTGAAGTTCTTCATCTTGGTGTTCATTTTCTGCTGTGCGTTCAGTTGTGCCATCACTCCAATTCTCTTCTCGCAGATCGAGGAGAGGGATAACCAGGCAGGTCGGGCAACAGCTATTTCCTCGCATCTTCTAGATTATAGAGATGCCATGTGGATGGAAGGCTTCTGCAGAGTCGGTTCCTGCTTTGCTTACTCCTTGCCAGGGCCTCACCTGGGCGTTCTGGACGATTGTTGGGAGCATGGACGAGGCGGCATTGGCCCAGCTGAAGACTCTTCCTCCCATCACGAGGATGACGGCCACGGTCTTGGTCTACATACTGGCGCTTGTTTGCAACGTGCTGCTGGTGAATCTGCTCATTGCTGTGATGAACAGCACCTATGAGAAGAACCAGTCCATGTCTCAAACCTCATGGGCGTTCTCGAGGATTGAGGCCGTTCTCGAGTACGATGATGAGTCGACGCTGCCTCCGCCACTCAATCTTTTGGGTCTGCTACTCGTGCAGTCTTACAGCCCCTTTAAAACCGATTACTTAAGCCAGTATGAAGTTCAAGACTTCTAAGACGTCTTTTTATAGTATCCTTGGGAAACCCGAACTGTTGTGGTTAGTCAAAGCTAGCCAAGTACCAAATGCTTAGAAGCAGTTTGTCATACACCTCAGCAAACCCCGAGCACCGAACAAGCCGGGAATCCCAAACCTAGGATTTGGGGTTTAGGGTTTCAGACCCTAAACCCTAAACCCCTAAAAAGCAGTCGAAAGGCTCTGGAAGCCGGAGCACGGACGACGAGGTTCCTTTGGTGCGAAGAGGCGAGCGAGAGGTTTTCGGGCTTAGGATGTAGCCTTCAGGGCTTCGGTGGTTCGGGTTTGGGGTTGGGGCTTCAACATGTTCGCATCTTGTCATAGATGCCAGGCGGGATGAAGGGGAGTCTGGCCCTAAGCCATGATCTTGCACGGCAAGCCCTAAGAGGCCCTAAAGCCCCGGACTGTCCGAACCTAGTTTTGGGGAGTCTCCGAAGATGCCACCCCTTGGATCATTGATAACCTGCGCGCTTGCAGCAGCCCGGAGATCGCTGTTTGAGGTCTTGACGTTGTAATACTGTGATCATGAGTCGTGCATTCAAACTGCCAGCCTTGCCATGACTAGCAGCATTGTTCTGGAGCCGTGTCCCCACTGAATCTATGAGGTTCTTGCGTTGTTGCCGCGATCGTGGCTGTGGTCATTATCGTGATCAGGTATCGCCCTCTTGTTCTTGGGCATCATAGTTCTGCGCTGTCTCTGTTGCCTTTATCATTCCGACAAATCCTTTGCCTCGCGCTCCAAGCCCTCACGTCCCAACCCCGGAATGCTCGCTGGGCTGGAACTCCGAATCCCTGACCTGATGACAAATTGAAGATTCATGCCCTACAAAAAACCTGAATTGCATGACCTTCAACCCTAGATTCCGCACTTGTCCCAGAAAGGTCCAAGACGCGTCTCCAACTGCCACTGCACGGTGATGTCATCGTGACACGACGGGACCTGAAAGAAGCACAGCAAAGGGCTCTCCGTGCCATCAGCTGCTCGCACCTCGCTGCTACGAAAGGGTGAGCAGCGCACATTTTCTTATGGAAGCGGTTTTTTTCTCGTAGTTTGCTTGAATGGGCCTCGTCCCCTGCAACGGTGCAAACGGAACTGCACCGAGTGACGCGAGCCATGAAGCCCCAGTGAACAACTACTTCCCCCAGCTCCTTCTCGAAATTAGGCAGGTGAATGTCTTCGTGAACAGCCCTGCTCTGCAAACCGTGGAGGCACAGGCTGAGGCTGTCAGGCCCTGACTTCATGGCCTTCGTTTGCTACATCTTGGCTCAAGCTACTTTTAACTCAAGCCAGCTACTGGCTCAGGCGTGTTACATGCCCCAGAACGTTCAGTTGAGTCTAGGAGTTTGGGGAACCCCGCATTTTCGAGTTGAAGAACCCTTGCCACCCTATTACGCACCTGCTGCTTCCGCCCGCTTGCCACAAGAACTCATGACTTCGAAGGGTAGCGGACCCCAAACCACAACTGTTTTGCCTCCTGTTGGTCGTCACACACAAGCCCTTGAGGCAGGCCCCTCTAGTGCTGCACCGAAGGTTAGAAAACCCAGCCTCGTTGAAACCCCTGAAGTCAAGAAGCCGAAGCTTGAACAACGTGAAGAACCAGATGTAGAAATGCCGAGTGGTGTAGCAGTTGCAGTTGAACCAGGTGACTGGTCCCCGTATGGCTTTCTTTGGGCACTGTCGGAAAGGCTCTTTCTCTGCCCTGGGCAGGCCCGGCGCTTCACAGCTTCTCGAACACGCATGGTTCAAAGAAAGCCTTCCGCCCTGCCCAGGGTTTTTTTTAATCTCCACTCGGGCAGACGGGGTCAAAATAAAGCTCGTCTCCCCCACATGGGTTTTTCTTCTACCCCGCCGCGTGGCCATGACCAAAGAAAGCCTCGCCCCTCAGCGGACAGGGGTTTCACTGGCCCTTGTGCAGCCCGGATCCAGATTCCTCGGGCCCGGGATGTTGGCCTAAAAGCCCTCCTAGCCCAACGACGGTTTTCAAAAAGGTCGCCTTGTGCACCCCTTGCCACGTAGAGGCCTTAAAAAATGCGTTCCCGTAGCGGCAATCTGAAACCTCGAGGAAGCACAAAACACCTTGACAGGCCACACAAGGCTTCTTTTACTTCCTGACAAGGCATCATCCAGACATGCTTTTTTTCGAGCAGTTTGCTCCTTGTTCTGAAATTCTTTATTCTTCTTCGAGCGGCTTGTTCCCATGTTCTCAAATTCTGTTTTTTTCCGACAGATTTGTTCTTTGCTCCTTTATTATACGTAGCCTTTGTCATAAATTCTGTAATCTCTTTCGAAAGGTTTGCTCGTTGTTCTCAAATTTTATAGTGTCTTCCGAGCGGTTTGCTCGTTGTTCTGAAATCTCTAATTCCTTCAAGCGGTTTCAACCTGGTTCTCAAACTCCCTAGCCTCTTTAGAGCGGATTGCTTCTTTGTTTCAATATCTCCAGTCTCTTCCAGGCGGATTGCTCCTAGTTCTCTAGTTACTTTCGAGCGGTTTGCTCTTTTGTTTCAATATCTCTAATCTTTTCGAACGGTTTGCTCCTTGTCTTCGCAAATTCTAAGTCCCTTTGGACCAGCTTGATCCTTGTGTTCAAGCTCTTTAGTCTTTTTCGAAATTCTCTACTGTTTTTGCAGCGGGTTGATCCTTGTTCTGAAATTTTCTATTCTCCTTCGAGCGGCTTGCTCCCGTGTTCTGAAATTTTCCAATCCTTTTTCGATCGGTTTGCTCCCTGCTCTTAAACTCTGTGGCCTCTGTCTTAAATTCTGTACTCTCCTTCGCACGGTTTGCTCGTTGTTCTCAAACTTTCTAGTGTCTTCCGAGCGGTTTGCTCGTTGTTCTGAAATTCTCTACTTCCTTTCGAGCGGTTTGCTCCTTGTTTTCAAACTCTCTAGTCTCTTTCGGAGTGCGCTAGGCTCTCTCGAGCGGTTGGCTTATTCTTCTGAAATTCTCGACTTCCTTTCGAGCGATTTGCTCCTTGATTTCGGATTCTCTAGGCTGCTTGTTTTCCAATTCTCTAGTCTCTTTCAGAACCAGGAGCAAGCCGCTCGAAAGATAGAGGCTACAGCATCTAAGAGCAGTGAGGAAACCGATCGAGAATGGACCTTAGAGAATTTGAGAACACGTTAACAAGCGGCTCGAAGGAGAATAGAGAATTTCAGAACAAGGAACAAGACAAGCCGCTCGAGGGGAACTAGGGAATTTCGAAAGGGACTTGAGATTTTGAAAACAAATACCATACCGCTCGAAAGGAATTCGATAATTTCAGTACAAGGAGCAAACCTCTAGAAAGAGAACTTCGAAAGATACTAGAGAATTTGACAACACGGAGCAAACCGCGCGAAAGGAAGTAGAGAATTTGATAAGAAGGAACAATCCGCTCGAAGGAGATTAGCGAATTCCGAAAGAGACTAGATAAGTTGAAAATCAGCAGCAAACCGCTCGATAAGAACCAGAGAATTTCAGAAGAAGGAGCGAACCGCTCGAAAGAGACTAGAGAATATCCAAAGAGACGTGAGAATTTGACAAAAAGTGAGAATTTCCAAGGAGACTTGAGAATTCAATACAAGGAGCAGACCGTTCGACAGAAATTAGAGAATGTCAGAGCAAGGAGGAAACCGTTAGAAAGAGACTAGAGAATTTCGACAAAGACATGAGAATTTGACAGCAAGATACAACAAGGAGCAAGACGCAAACAGCTTGAAGGAGACTGGAGAATTCCGAAAGAGACTAGACCACTTGAAAACAAGGAGCAAACCGCTCGAAATAGATTGGAGAATTTCCACAGAGACTAGAGAATCTGAAAACAAGGAACAGACCGCTCGAAAGAAACTAAAGAATTTCAGAACAAGGAGCAAACCGCTCGAGAGACACCAGAGAATTTCCAATTTCCCTAGTTTTTTTTTGGTTTGCTTCTTTGTTTCAATATCTCTAATACCTTCCAAGTGGCTTACTCCTTTTTCAGTTTGTTTTGACCGGCGTGCTCCTTAGTTTCGATATCGTTTCTGTTTCGAGACTAGGGAGGTTGAAAACACGGAACAAACCGCTCGAAAGGAACTAAAGAGCTGCAGAACAGGGAGCGAAGCGCTCGAAACAGACTGGATAATTTTGAAAACAAGGAGCAAACCGCTCGAAAGACACCAGAAAGATAGCAAACCGTTCGAAAGAGATTACAGATTTTGAGACAGAGGCTACAGAATCTAAGAGCACGGAGCAAACGATCGAAAAAGGATTGGAAAATTTCAGAACACGGAAGCAAGCCGCTCGAAGGAGAATAGAGAATTTCAGAACAAGGAGCAAGCCGCTCGAGAAACGCGAATAATTTCGAAAGGGACGACACAGGCTTGTTCCTTGTTCTGAGATTCTCTATTCTCCTTCGGGCGGCTTGCTCCCGTGTTCTGAAATTTTTGAGTCCTTTTTCGATCTTTTTGCCCCCTGCTTTTAAACTCTGTAGAATTCTGTGTTGTGTGCTAACTCCTCTTACGAACCTCTCGAGTGATGGTGTCATTGACTGCAATGTGCCGGCTGTTTCTTTCCTCTCGAGCACCGGGCACCACCCTTCACTGCATTTCACTGCCATGTGCGCGAGCTGCAAGAAGAGTGCAGCTGCTGGCTTTCTCGATCATTGACCGCTGTCGCTTGTGTGCTTGTGTGACATTGGTAGCGGAGCTCCTGGCTTCCGATCCTGGGACATGTCCAGTGGTAAGTGGCGGAGAGACAGCACTACACCTATGGCACGGCGCAATGGGGTTGGGGAGGTGGGGATCCTGGTGCTTGGCCGTCGTGGTCGGCCATGGGCTCTGGAGCAGGAGGTGATGGGGGCATTCCGGCTGCAGCGGACCCCAGTCAGTTCCGAGCGCTCCTGATCCTGCTGCGCTACCTGGACCGTGGGGAAGGGCCACTCAGAGGCAGTGGCAAGGGGATACGTGGTCTAACTCGAGATGGAATGATGCAGCGGACTGGCAATGGAGCGTGGTGGCAACCCTCGGGACACAACACTGGAAGTGACTACTCAGACCCGCCAGCGTGGGGAGGGTGGAACAGTTGTCGCTTTTTGAAAAAATCTATGCGAAGATGGGATGCCAATACGGACGTTCCTGTTTGGCGTCGGTTCGAGAAGATGTCGAAGCAGCTGGACTGGGAAATGCAAGCAAACTTCGAGCACCTCTAGGATGAAGTGCTTCGTCGAGCGCCGTGAAAGGGTTGACGCCTTTGTGGGCACATCGTGCGTAGGAACCCGCTCCCCGGCCAGCGCCAGCCAGGCGCCTTGCGCTGGATCCTCAATGATCCCGTCATCATCATTTCCTCTGGCGTGACCGTCCACACCGCCAGCATCGCTGATCCCAATGAAGGTGAGCTTCTCCGGCGGGATCGGGAAGATCTTGATTCCCTGACGTGCCGCAGATCGAAGGTGCCCAATCATCTTGTTCCGGACAACGGCATCTTCGACGGTTGCCCTTTGTTTGCAGGCCAAACCTCAGCAAGGAAACCGTCCCTGCTGCTTCTGGTCGCGTCTGGTGAGCAATCCAGCTGATCCGGTAAAGCGTGGAGCGGAAGTCCTCAAGCTCCTCTTCAGTCAGAGGAGCCGTCTTGTCACCGCGTCGTCCCTTGGAGAGCTCGAGGATGTGGATCTTCTCCATAATGTACTTCTCCTGGTCCATGTGGGCGCAGTCGGGCTCCACCTTGATGTGCCTTCGGTTGAAGTAGGGCTCTCCATATTCCCACTTTCCGAAGGTGAAGCGCTCCTTCAAGGAGCGAAGCAGGCCTTCCTCACGTTCATCTCGAGCAACGAAGTTGAAATCGTCAACCTCCGGGAGGACCAGGGCCTGCACTCCATTAGGTCGGACAAGACCTCCTGCCGTTTCACATTAATGGCAAGGATCCAGGAGGATGAGGTGCTCGCTGACGGTATCCAGCCAATTGCATGGTGCGTTGTCCAATCCGTAGACGGCGACCTAGGAGCTCGATTCGCCTCTGCAAAGAGGCGCCGCTTGGGACGATGCAGAAACGACTGGCAGAAGGCCGCTGCGAGATCACCAAAGACAACCTTGAGCTTCAAGCTGGCCGCCGCCTGGAAGAACAAGTTGATCGCTTCCGTCTGAGGTGTTGGGGCAAAGGTGCGAAGTTTTCCTCCATCAGGATCTGCAAACCCGAGCACGCGCCATCGAGACTTGTACTTGAAGTTTCCAACGCCCGCTTACGCCTGACCAGGGGTGACTTCAGATCCTGTGTCCATGCTCAGCTCGAAGTCATCGAGCCTCCTCACCATTCCAGACCCGCGCAGCGTTCATGCCGGTGACGCTGGACCACTCATTGCTGTCCGGCTCGCTGAAGCCCTTCACGTCATCCTTGATGGCCTTACTCATGTCAAATTCATGGTTTCGTGCTTGGACTCCCATCTTCTTTCACCTCAAAGCCGAGCAGCGCCTGATTCACAACGTCATCAGGTTCAGCACGCCGCGCGCCGTTCTCGTTCTCGTAGTCGTTGCAGCCAGAGAGTGACTTGACCCGAAGTTGAGGGCTCGCCGAACTCTTCTGAAACTCCTGCCCGGGACTATCCAGTTCAGAAGGATCAGCGGCCGCCTCTTGGTGTCCTGGGGTGTCGGTGAGGCCGTCAGACAACATCTCTTGGGGCAGCCGAAGCCCTCGTCCAAACAGCAGGTACGCTGGAGTGTATCCTCCCCGTGAGTACCACGAGTTCTTGCAGGCCACGATGTAGTTCACGAGGGTCTCCAAGTCCTCGATGGAGCGAACAGCTCCAGGCCCTTCCTCGAGCTCTCGCCGAACTCTCTCTTTGACGAAGCCTCCACGGCGCTCAGCTCGCCCATTCTGCCACGGGCTCTCTGCCTGCGTCACACATGATGAAAAATGTTTTGCTGCTCCAGCACCCTCTCAAAGTCTCCGGCAAACTGCAGACCTCTGTCAGAAAGCAATACCTCAGGCGCCCCGAAGGGCTTCAGCCATGACTCGTAGAGGGCCTTGACCATCTCGTCCCTATATGTCGTGGCCGAACCATTGTCACGTTCTGCCAGTGAGTCCCACGCATGGCAAATCAGGTTGACGAAAGGGATCGAGCGACCTTGCCAGGGGGCGTAAAGGTATCGCAGCCAACAATTTTGTCGAAGGAGTAGGTCTTGGGCTTGGGAAGGCTGAAACCCGGCCGGGGATTCGCCGTTGCCGTCGATCACAAACTACACAACTGAAGCGGCTTTTCACGTACTCCAAGACCTCGGGTTTGGCCCCGGCGGCACGGAGCATGACAAGCATTCGCTCCTTGGGCAGGTGGGCCATGTTGATGTGGATCTTGTCCACCATCAAGCTCACATTGAGCTCGTTTCCCTTTGTAGCTTCCTGTACTTTGCCTTTTTCCTGCTTCCTTCTCCGCTTCTTTGGCTTCTTGTTCTTTATTCTTGCCTGTCCCTCTGTCTCTATGTGTGTGTGTGTGTGTCTCTCTC